AAGCATCTCTTCCCCTAGCTTTGCTCTCCCCCTCTTTACCTTGAAAGCCCCGGGAGCTGCAGAGCAGGAGGCAGCCTGTGTGCACCGCCAACGAAACGGCTGCAGGACCGGGCATAACTAATTAGAGCCTCTATAAAATGACATCTATTTCCACAGATGGGAAGCTGCTTCCCCTTTTTATGGCTGCTTCAGTTAATTAGTTATCTCAGAGGTTGCATTTGCATTCCCAGCTTTGTGAAATACCCTTTTGTTAACTACTTTTCATATACTTTTATGAAGTCGACCACTGAAACAGGCTCATTTATCTCACCAGTGACAGGCTGAGAGGCTTGCCCAGAGCTGCGTGCCAGATGCCGGGATTGTAAAATAATGTTTGGCTTGTCTGGTGTTTGGAAAGGAGACAGAAGGTGCAGGGCTATGAGAAGAAAGTCCCAGGCTGCTAAAGCCAAGGTCTGGATCTTGACAACTTCTACAGAAATGTCCAATCTGTTGCTTTTGGGCAGCTTGCAGGAGTCGGTGGGGGATGCTCTGGTCGCCAGCCCTGGGCTTGGACATCTCCATCCTCATCACCCAGGATGTGCCCGCACACACAGCGTCCAACAGGAGCAGGGTGTGAGCATCTGACTTTCTCGAGCTTTATCTGCTGCATCCCCCCCTCCAGCAGCGCTGGGTGTCGGGGGCCCCCCCCCCCCCCCCCAGCCGGCACAGCGGGGATGTCCCCAAAAGCCCTCCCTGTCTGGAGCCTGGGGACACCCCAAAGCCGCTGCTCCAGCTGAGCCTGCTCCAGCCATGCTGCACATTTACCCTCCATTAGTGAGATCATGAGCAACAGCAGCAATAATCGATCACCGTCATTATTGCTAGGAAATGTTTGCAAAATCAATGTTTCCCCTGTAGCATAAGCAATCAGGGCTTTTGTTGGTTGACTGTTTTTCAGGCATGCTTCTGCCATAAAGAGTGGAAAATGCTGGATAACTGCAAAGTACAATGCAACGGATCTCATTCCTGGTGGCAGAGCCACCTTCTCTCCGTGCAAGGCTCTGCAAACACTTGAAGCAACCCGGCACGCTTTGGCATCCACTGCCGTATGGGAGGGAAACCTTCACAGACCACTTGCATGTGTTTAGGGACCGTGTGAGATGCCCATGGGCGTTACTGCAGCGATACTTCCATTCACCTTCCCCTTGCACCTACCACTCAGGGTGCTGCTCACCTCCCTGCTGCTCCACGTGGACGATGTGTGAACATTGCTAAATGCCCCAAATGAGGCAGAGGAACTGGGCATGCGCTGCTGGCAGTGCCAGATTCGTGCTTTCAACAGTTTTTGGTGCTTTATGTATTGTGGTCAGCATGCTAGGGACATGAAGCCCTATGCTAAGGGGCACACCTGGGTGGGTTTGGCTGCCCCAGGGCATTTTCCAGGGACCCCAAGGGATGTTATGTTGAAAAAAGAGAATCCTGCCATCGGTTCAGCCATCCCTCGGTTCCAGGAGAGAACAAGTCTTGTCTTGGTGACAAGAAACCATACCTTCAAACTCAAACATTGAAAATTCAGAGCACAGCCCAGTTATTGCGGGGGGGAAAGAAAGCCCAAAATACGTAAATCTTTTTATTTTCTGCACCAATGAGTTTGTATTGGCCCGTTAGTTGACGCTCCTGAAAGTATCTGCTGGGATGCAACTATTATACATCCAAACTGTCACAAATGGAAACGTCGCCTTGAAAGACAAAGGGTAATTTATTGAGAAAAGGGTGTCATTTAGGTGGAAGGATGGAAGGAAGAGAGACAGTCGCTGCAGAACTGCCAAGAGAGAATACCAGATCCGCTGATAGTCAGGGAACAGCTTTGAATTTCCAAGGCTGCCCTTGAGGGATAAGAAAATAAAAGCTAAGGACAAAAAAAAAAAAGAAGTCTTAAATACAGTGACAGCAGAAACCTGAAGGATCGCAGTGAAAAATGGGACTTTCTCCTCTGTAACAATAACCGAGAAAAAGATAGGAATGTAATTTGTAAAAGCTGTTAAATTGCCACCAGAAATTGTAAGCTGGATGGAGAAATGACACAGAAGGAAAAAAGAAACAAATGCATACCTGTCATTCCTGGAGTATTTCTTGAAAATGGGACTAGACGATGAACAGGGTGGAGGAGAAATGGAGCTGAGGAAGGGAAGAGCTGGGAGAAGCCACCCGGCTCGGCTGGGTGACAGGAGCTGGTCGCCACAAAGGCTTTAACTGGGAGCCTCTGTGGGTACAGGAGGAAAATGGTTTTGTGTATATCCAAAACCACAAACCCATAGATCCCTTTTTCTTGTTTGTTTCTAATACATCCCCCTCTGTCTTGGAGGGAGCTTATTTATATGGAAATGGCACCAAGGAGCCAGGCACAGGCAGCTTGCTCATCTCCGCGGTCGGGGCTCCAGAGGGAACTTCTTGCCAGGATGGAGTTTGCAGGATCGGCTCCCGCTGGCAAACTTCAGGGGAAACAAATTGCAAACAGCCTGGAGAAAGGTGTGGTGATCCCTGCAAGAGCCTTGTCCCAAGGCTTGCACTTGAACGCTGCCCGTGCCAGTGGGACGGGGGAACCTGGGCACGAACTGCAGGGTGGGGAGACCAGGAAAGATGGGGTGTTTCCGGCACCAGCAGGACAGCACCCTGCACGTGTCCCCTCTGAGCCCTTCCCAGCCCCACTGGCCCCTGAGCATCCTGACGAAGCCAAATGTCGCTCCGGTTATTTTAAGGCCATTAAAAAATGGATCTTCCGGAGAAGCAGAGTGTGTTTTGGGCACAATTCCAAAGCGTTACAGCATTAAAGCCTGCGGGGTGTGGGTGCGGGATGGCTCTTGCATGCCCACCCCAGTCCTCAGCAGCATTTGCAGCACCTGGATTGACTCAAGTTAAATAAGCAGAGGGTGCTGGGGGTGATGTGTCTCAGCCAGGGTCCCTCTGCTCCAGCACCCAAAGCCCCTGGCAAGTCTCAACCTGCTGCAGCTGAAGGTTGAGCTGAGGCTTCTTCAAATGCAAACCCATGAGCAAAACCAATCAAGCACATTTTCTGATGCAAAAGCATCACTGTATGGATGTAGAAGCACATTTTTAAGCAGGAAGGCTGCTTCAAAATGCCGCTTTTATATTTTTCACGTGGTGATTGTCTAGCAGATATTTCCCTTAAGTCCCTGGAGCTGAAATCCTGGTGCTAGATGAGATGTTGCCATTTGTATTAGGGAAGTAATTGAAACTGGTTCTTTCTCAAATATTTTAGTTGAAAACACGCACACCCAGCTTCAACAAAAGCAGGTGCTCAGAGAGCCATCATTACCAAATTGTGATATTTCTCATGGCTGTCTCAAACACTGGGTGTTGGAATATTTCTTTTCAGCTGGAAACATCTATGATTAAGCTGCAACCAGTGAGAAAAGTAGCAGAAATTGCATTTCCAGCTGCACAATTTAGCAGATCAGTGAGTGAGCACCTCTGGCCCAGACCACTGCAGGGGTGGGAAGTTTCTCCTGAAAAACAAAGCTGCGCAAGACACCAGGTTTTGGGGAGCAATTCAGCCTGTGGGAAATATAAAGCCAGGGAGGAAAATGAGGTGGGGGGAACCGTCCCAGCTGCAAACATCCCCTGCGTCCCCCTGCAGGCTCGGGGCTGTGGAGCCCCACAGCTCCACTCCTCTGGCTGCGGCTCACTGCTTCTGCCCTCTTGTCTGGTCACATAACTCCAAATCCAAAGTTGTAATAGCAAAGAAGTGTTGGACAGATTAAAATGCAGGGAAATAATAGCAAGGGTGGTTTTTTTCAGGGTTGAGAGGAAAGATGGGGAGGAGGGAGAGAGGAGGTGTTTCCAGATACCTTCAGAGAGCTCACAGGATTCAAATAGTTGGAGTGATCTTGACAAGCTAAAAACCCAATCTGCTGGAAATCATATACCTCAAATAATGTGCTATTGCTGCTGATCGTCTGTGTATTTTAGGGCTGAATAGATACAGTATTAAATTCATCTCCAGTTCTCATTTGCCACCGGTTACTGCTTGTTTGACAAGGTTTGAGTGAAGTTTGAAAGGCTTTTACTGAAAACGGTCGTAGGAGGAGTGAGGCTTGATGGCTTTTCTCAAGGGCTGAGCAGCATCTGCCTGAGGCGCCGGGGGGCTGGGGTTGCTCTGCCACGCACCCCAAGCTGCTGCCCGGGAGAGGAGCCAGGCACTGTATTTAATTAATTGAAATACTGATTAATATTACCTCAGCTGTTATAATGACATTCAGGTCTCCCGCTTCCCAGTGCTTTAACCACGGAGCCTTCCAACGATGTTGTGAAGCGCTCCAAGTTCTGGTTACCTAAAGGCGAAACACGTTATTGATGGCGCTGTCCTCCCTCGGCCACAAGCTCCTTAGCGCGGGGGGACACCTCAGCTGGTCCCTCAGCTGAGAGAAAGGTGAAAAAAAAATAATAAATAATCCATCTCCATAGGCAACCTCATGCTTGGGGAAACCCTAAGCCAGTCGCTTGCCTCCCGGCGACCCCCAGGGTGGGTTTTGCAAGAGAACCCCCTCCGCAGCTCCCCCCCGCCGGGCTCCCGCGGGGCGCAGGCCCCGGATGCCCGCGCAG